CACACACACACACACACACACACACACGCGCGCGCACACACCACACGATCCCCCCCCACACACACACACGCGCACGTACATACGCGCGCCCACATACCCAACACGGACACAGGCGCACGCGCAGGACCTTTTCTCTAACGAGCAATAACCGCGTGATATTCCGGAACCAAAAACTTCGTGCGCGCGAGCGCCCCCCCCCCGCCATCCTTCAAGCTTTGCGGCCACGACTTCGGCGAAGCGTCCAATCTGTCACGGTGTCGTGCGTGCGCTCGCCGTGCAGCAGCCTCACGGCCTAACAACGCGGTTGTCGCTGTCAACTCTGATTTCGCCATCCATACATCTTTGGCGATAACGTGCTTTGACTCGCGCCATGTTGGATAATTGGAACAGTGACCCGGCATGTCGCAGTGGTGACGCACTGATACCTTCATGCAGGGAAATCGCAATTTCGCTTCAAAGTGACGTGAGAGAAATCACAGGTTTTTTTGTCAACAACAGCGGCTACGTACATAGGCACATGAGCTGCTTCAATACGAAAATCATAGCAATAAAAACAAATCATATTTCCCACCGATGTGCTCTCTATCAACTAATAATTTAACGTAAAAGCCGTGCAAATAGTCTTCCACAGCCGCACAATCTTGCCGTACACAAACAACTTGTGTAGAAAAAAACTTACAGAAGGTAGAAACTCCCACTCCTATTTAGTTCGCACTCTACATATCGTGAATTTGTGTAGTGGAGTATTTATGCGGCTGTCATGTGGAATTATTAGGGGATAAAAAGTACATAAACATTGGTGGAACTTTGGTAGCAAGCACAATTTGTGTTTATTTAGTATCATTGTATTATTGAAACGGCCTAAGTGCCCGTGCCTACGTACGCTCGCTCTTGATGAACGTTTTCGTTTTGTAGGCTTCTAATAACGTGAAATAGGAGAAGTTTTTTAAAAAGTGTTTGACCTACCGTCATGTTCACAATCAAGAACCCATCCTAAATATTACTTAATGCATAATAAATCATTTAATAACAACAGTACGCTAGCGCTACGCTATATAATAGCAAACTACATTACACAATATGAAGATTACATAAACTACAGTTACACACATAACTACAGTTTATGTTCTCTTAATTAAACAATTATTTTTCAATACGATTTATTTTTAAACTATTTTTCATTACTACTAGAGTAGCTCATGGTGGTTTTGTATGCAATTTTATGTCCAGACCTAAACTCTTCATGAATCCCCTAATTGAAGGTCCAGGAACAATATTTGATTAGTAACACATTTCCCACTGACGGCTAAATAGCTTTTTGGGTCACGCCCTTTTCGAGCAAAGTACTACCATTCACTGTGACTGTATCTACAGAACCATTGGACCTAGGAGGTTGCGCGACCACTCAAAATGTGCGCAATGGCCCCATTATGGGGGGTCAATAATACATTTTCATATCCAAAAGTCAATGGTTTTTAAGATAATTGCCAAAAACCGATTTCAGCATGTTACACACTACAATTATTCGTAATTGTTCCTGTTATTTGGATTTCTACACTTTTTGCCTTTACTACAGCCACAAAACGTCACATATTTTATGTTCCTTTCTCTGCAAGTGC